GCGCTAAATATATATCGTTATATCAAAATACTCATTTATTTAATTTTAAATGAAACAAATGTAATCCTAATAGTATTCCCACTTTTTACAAAATGTAACGTCTGTCAGTCATCCCGCGTTTGAGGAGAATAATTGTAGATGGGTGTTATTTGCACCCGCACTAGCAGGCGGCTAACGTGAGCCAACAGGTGTCAACAGAACCAGGAACTACGCAGTTTAAGGTCCACACACTTGGTCCAAGGAAGGTATCCAGTGGCGGATGAGGAGATCAAAGCATCCGAGTTTCTTTTATCCTTACAGCAGCGCTAAATATATATCGTTATATCAAAATACTCATTTATTTAATTTTAAATGAAACAAATGTAATCCTAATAGTATTCCCACTTTTTACAAAATGTAACTGTAATCTGAATACTTTGTTTTTTGATGTAACTGTAACGGATTACAGTTACTAGATTTCTGTATCCTGATTACGTAACGCTGTTACATGTTTTCCGTTACTCCTCGACCCTGCAAATCAGATACCTGTTCAATCAGAGAAAACGCATGAAGTGACCAAGTGTAAACAGGCCCAGAGTGTCTGTTGCTTCACTGAGAAGAGAAGTGGAAATATGTGTAAGACAGAGAAAGTGGAAGTTGCAGCAAAAGGAGACAGGAGGAGGAGTCAGTGGTGAGCATGAAGGCAGCAGTGAGAGATTTGAAAACAGAAGTGGTCTGAGACATGTGGAGTAACAAGATGGTTGTAAGTGGTGCAGTTAAGTGTTAGCATGAGGTCTTATTCTTTGCCTGCTTTGTATCGCAGGGGCGTGCTGTCTTGTGAGGTCAAATGAGATAGGAAGAGTTAGAAAGTCAGTCGCTTGAGATTTGTCTAGGTGGATATTATTTGTCTAGGTGGTTGTGTTGCCCAATTGCCCTGGTGGAAAGGAACATGACAACATGATGAAGTTTAGCAAATTTAGTGAAAGTGATGGACATGGTATTCAAAGAAGATGTAATTGCCTGGAGGATATTCCAGGTGTTGGAAATGAGTAGACCCGCCCTGCCCAGTTGGACGAAGTGGGTGGGAGTAGCAGTGTTATGCTGTGATCCAAGTTTCAGTCAAAGCCAAAACATTATGATTTCACTGAATGGCAAAGGCCGGAATGAAGTCAGATATGTTGACAGCTGACTGATAGTTCTCTGATTGATTCATAGCAGAGCCCACCTACTTCATTAACAGCTCAAATGTGCTGCAGCTATACTGCTCACTCTGGTAGACAAATGCTTCTCTTGAGATTAGTACAAGCTCAAAATATTTTAATATTATATACTGCAACATGTATTACATCAATAATTCATGTAACCACAAGCTCAGTGTGGCAGATGTGGTTTATTTCTTCACAATACCCCACGTTAGCTAAACATTCCTGTACTGTAACTCACAACATTGTGACTGCACTGTGTGTATTACTAGCACAGATGTGTATGTTTGGAGCAGTCTTGTCTCTCTTATCTGATTAATTGTGATTCAGCTTTCACAGAAGTTGTTCAGGAAACCTAAACCCAATGGTAAACCACTTATTTTGAATAGGTTATGATGCACACCAGAAAAAAGAAGTGCCACGGTGCCAAGTTCTCACAAGGCAACAGGCCAAAATCTAATCACTGAATCTAATCACCTTCTTCTTCTTCTTTAGGGTTTATTGTCACCGAATGAACTGGTGCATTACCACTGGTGCATGGACCAGAGTGTCTATTATCTACAACAGAATGGAATGCAATACAGTAATACAGTAATCACATGCACATGCTGGCTGGCTTTTTGCGTTCACTTTTGATTTTGATTACGTTCAGCAGAGAGGGGAGGGGAAGGGCACAGTAACTCATTTGAGGGAGCATGCTTCCACCTGGTGCCGGGCTTGATCTGCCGTTTCATTTTCTTTGACCAATGTGTGCTGGCCTGGTATCCACAAAAATACTACTGTAAGCCTAATCATTTATATTCTATATAATGTTTCTTGCATCTCTGTCAAAATAGTTGGTCTGCTGTCTGAATGACAAAGTTGTAAACTGATTAACGATGAGCTTTGGTGGTCTTGCATCCTCTATCCACTGTAATCCTAACAGTATTGCAAGCAAACCGATAATATATAATAACCTTATAGGTAAAATATCCACTTCTATGAGTTTTGCTGTAAAAACCATGCAAACAGAAAAAAATATCATATCAGTATCATATCATATCATATTTGCAGCACTCTGTTGAGTGTAGGCCTACTGTTGATCAGTGGCGGCTCGTCGGGGGGAGGCACAGCTTTCCCATCATTTTGAGGTGAAAATGGGAGGACGATTTAATGTTAATAAAATTCACAATTCATTTCAGTTTATGTCTCAGAATGTGTATTTTTTGTTTGTAATTTCAGTTGTAATACCATAACGTGAAAGCGCCGCTTTTCTATCGCGAATGTGGCGAATCTGCTGATGTAATTACCGCTAATGATTAGAGAAGGGGAGAGGGAGGCCGGGGAGAGCTAAGCTCTCGTGCCTCCGTTGGTAAAAAAAATTAGCCAATCAGCATCGAGTGTTCACTTTCAGCGCTGAGGAGTGTTGAGAAAAGAACCCTCGTAGAGATTATATTATCTTGCTGTATGTATGTCGTTTTCTTTACGTTTTCTGACTAAAAGCAACCAAAAAGCCATTTAAAAAAGTGATTAAAAAAAATAAAAAATAATCGGAAGGGAACCTAGACCAATATAATTAGTGTGCCTCCTCTATTTTAAAACCCACGATCCGCCACTGCTGTTGATACATTCTGTGTATTTTATCCAAAATTGTACAGCCTATTATAAACATGTCAACTCTGTAGTTTTTATATTATTATTATTATTTTGAGATTTTATGACAGGGTTAGATTAGGTTTTGGTTACATTTAGGTTACACATCATACTGTAAAAAAGCACCGTTGACGTTTAACTTTATTCTTTAGGCCTATTCTAGTCTCCCCCCACTATGACAACACAGCATCCGCATTTAGACCAATCAGCATGGAGACCACCGGCCGCAAGAGATCCAGTGTTGCCAACTTAGAAATGTTGTTGCTAAATTTAGCAACTTTTCAGACTACCTTAGCAAAGTTTTCTTCCAAAAGCACCTAGCAACATATTTAGCTATTTTTAAATTTCTGTCCTCTGCAGTCCTTTTCAGTGCATAAGAGGCGCAGCTAGGTGACGAAGCGGCTCCGAATAAGCGCACCATCATCCTAAATTCTTCTATAGGTGCATTCAAATTGCCCTCTGGCCACCAAAGAAAACGAAGCAGATCTGCGTCCTCCTCAGGAACCCTCACCTGATAGAACATCGACTCCACATCTGCCATCATGGCTATTGGTTCTTCCCTAAATCTGGTAAGGACACCAATGAGTGCGTTTGTGAGGTTCGGACCTTGTAGCAATTGGCTGTTCAGAGACATGTCTTGAAACGAAGCAGTACAATCGAAAACCACTCTTATTTTGTTTTAGTGGGTTTAGGCGCCCTCTTGTGTTCAAAAACTGCAACGTCCTCTCCCTCTTCAGCCATCTAAATTCCATCAATGCACAAACTGCTTGCAGACGATTAAAAGTACGCACAATACCTTTCTGTATCAATCGTATGCATTTCAGCTTCTTCAAACATGAATTGCATCCATTTTATAGCTGATTTAAAAGTCCATTACCTCATTCAAAGAGCGAACTTTAACAAGTAGCGACGTTCTTCTCTGTGACGCAGTTTTAAATCCACTGGAGAATAAAGCACTGTCCATTATTCATAGTCCACGATCGTGAAACATTTCGGTGTTCATTCACAGACGTTGATTTCCTTGATGATGTCTTTGCCGTCGATTCAAATGCGCGCCGTCCGCGCACTTTCACGTTCGTTTTCCATATTTACAGCGAGTTTTTTTACTTTCTTTGTAATAGCAATCTGTTTAAATTTTCATCTTTCTTGCTTCTTCTTCATGTGTGAGCGTGATTTGAACTCGAATAACATTCCGTAGTCCAGAAACTTTCTTTAGGTAAAGTTTAATAACAAAATTAACTGGAAAAATGTTTCGCTCCAATATTGCATCACAAAAAAACTAACGGTCCTTGCCGGAAATGACATCACTGTCAATATTAAATATAATACACATATTAAATTATTTACTTTTATAATTATTTTACAATTGCTTAATACACACAATTATTTATTTATTCCACATCTATATAAACAAATAACATATGGCACTTACATTTTCCATTTTTCTACATATTTTTCTTACAGTGTACTAACTGTTAGTACAGTTAGTACACTGTAAGAAAAATATGTAGAAAAATGGAAAA